CGAGTGCTTGAGGGTCTCACCTGAGAGCGGCAGGTAAGGGCATTGAAGAGGTCAAAGAACACAAAACAGGTGAAGGTCATCGTTGTGGTACGCGGGGTGCTCGCCTTGTCTTCGGGGATCTGGAACACAAGGGTACAGGACGAGATGATACACTCCCCTGCCATAAACTCACCCTTCACCGAGAGCCTGGGGACGGAGCAGGTCTGTAATCGCAGCTCGGTGTCCAGACCACAGCACTTTAGTTTTACTAGGAATTGATCAAAACCTCCCTGAGTCACCTGGTGTAAGCCAGCAGTGTATCTCTCAGCTTCCCCAGGGTCCAGCCCCTCTGTTGGCACCTGGGAGGGGCCGTTAGCCCTTCCTCCAGAATTTCGGCTGCCCTCGATGCTAGAGGGGGAACCCTGTACAGTAAATGGAACACCCCTTCCTCCAGTAGGTGACACTGCCTCCCGGGAGGTGTCACTTCTACAGTACATCCACTTCACAGAAGGTAACTTCCTCCAGGAAGGCAGAAGAATGCCAACCCCACAGAGAACCAGGGTCTGTGAGGCTGAATGAATGAAGCCACAGCCTCCTCCCTGGCTCTGGCGCTGTTGCGGAACCGGTCCCTTCTGGCTGACGTCGTGGGGGCGGGGCTGCTGACCAACGTGAGAAGGTTCAGGGTGTGCTCCCTGAGTGTCCTGCCTGATGAAAGGTGGTGAGTCCCCTCTGGCGCAGGCAGGAGTCACCAGTCCTACCCTGAGCTCATCTACTGGACCAGGGGTTCACATAGACGCCCCCTGGGAGCAACTGTTAAAACACAGTCTGACACAGCAGGTCCTGGGTGGGGCCTGAGAATCTGCATTTCTCACAAGGTCCTGGGGTGCTGATGCCACTGAGGATGACTGTGTTACAACAGGAAAGCCTGTGTGTCTCCCCCCACTCGCTGAAAACATGGGCGGACAAAGGTAGGGGAAGAAAAGCTGCTCCTTTTGAGGCAGAACAGTGGCAGTGTCCCATCCCTCCCACAGCTGGATGACTGGGGTTCAAGATCTGGACGGGTCACCTGCCTATTCTCCATCTAGATCACTGATGTCTCCAGACACAGGCTCCCTTCACCTGCAGGCCACGTAAAGATAACCCATAATAAGAGCCTGCCAACAAGCACCTCCAGGGAATAGACAGGAGTTTCTTTTAGATTTAAATTGTTTCCTGGTGACAACAGAAAGAAGTTGAGAGCCATGTGTCTCATTTAGAAAAAAGTCTGAATTCTTTTCTCTGTCCCTGAAGCCTCATACCCCTTCTGCCTCTTCCCACCTCTGCAAAGTCAGCTGCTAGTCACCCCCCACAGCCTCCTTCCCCAGCGCTGCCCTGCCTGCATGGCTACACTTGTCACCCCCCACAGCAGGGACCGTCCACCATGCTTTACATGCACCCCAGCCTCGCATCAGCCACCCCCAGGCATTGACTGAGCCAGTGAGAGCTTTCTTCACCTCTTTCCAGAAGATGAAGAGGGTCCCGCTGATGATGACAGAAGCCGACAGCAGGATCTTCAGGATGAGGGCTCTGCTGAGGATTGTGTCCTTGACGTTCCTCGGTGGCTGCCGGAGGGTGTCTTTGTCCAC